ACCACGCTTTCAGACACCAGGACACCAGAGCCTGTCCCTTCTCCCGGGGGCACGCCATCACGACAATCATGTCGTTTTTGTATCCGAAGGGAAACGTTCCAGTCATGCTTTGCGTCTCCTTTGGCGCCGGCCGCTCCGAAGCGCACGTCGTTGGCCCCCTCCTCCGACAAGGTACCAGGCTCGGCCTGAGCTGTACGGCGCCGAGTCGACCGTTGACGATGTCAAGGGCAAGGCCCACAAGCTCATTACCGAGGCGGCCAAGGAGTTCGAGAAGGCCTCCGCCGCCGCCCAGGCCAAGGCCGGCCGGATTTTTTTTTTACTCTGGCAGGTACTATGCCGCCTGCACCTTTGGCGGCTTGATGGCCTGCGTGCGTAGAGAAGAGCCTCCCACCCCCCCTCAAGCGTGTTGCTGAACCCCCATCTGACCAGCCTGTAGGGGCTCACGCACTTTGCCGACACCCCGCTTGACCTCGTCAAGACGCGTCGCCAGATCGACTCCAAGCTGTACACGGGAAACTTCCAGGCCTGGGGCAAGATCTTCCGCGGCGAGGGCGTGCGCGGCATCTTCACCGGCTGGAGCCCGACGTTCTTCGGCTACTCCGCCCAGGGCGCCTTCAAGTATGGCTGGTATGAGTTCTTCAAGAAGCAATACTCGGACATTGCCGGTCCCGAGAATGCCCAAAAGTACAAGACGGTCCTGTATCTGACTGCGTCCGCTTCGGCCGAGTTCCTCGCCGACCTTGCCCTCTGTCCCTTTGAGGCTGTCAAGGTGCGCATGCAGGGCGGCATCCCGTCTCCTTACAGCGGCACGCTCGACGGCATCCGCACCATCGCGGCCAAGGAGGGCGTGTCCGGGCTGTACAAGGGCCTCTACCCTCTCTGGGGTCGTCAGATCCCCTACACCATGATGAAGTTTGCATCGTTCGAGACCATTGTCGAGATGATTTACGACCGCCTGCCTGGCCAGAAGAGCGACTACAGCAAGGGCGCCCAGACCGGCGTCTCCTTTGCCGGTGGCTATCTGGCCGGTATCCTCTGCGCCATCGTCTCTCACCCTGCCGATGTCATGGTCAGCAAGTTGAACGCCAACCGTGCGCCCGGCGAAGCGTTTGGCGGTGCCCTGAGCCGCATTTACAAAGATATTGGCTTCTCCGGGCTGTGGAACGGTCTTCCAGTGCGCATCGTCATGATTGGCACTCTGACTGGTCTACAGTGGATGATCTATGTGAGTTTCAAGTGCCTGTTCTACCATGCATAACCATACTAACAGTGGCTGTAGGACTACTTCAAGATCTTCATGGGTCTCCCAACGACGGGCGGTGCGTCACAGGCCGTGGAGAAGAAGTGAGAAATGCACGAGTGCGAGAAGAGGTGAATTCGGGTTGTGCTGAGTAGGTCATCGGTTGTCGAGTGGTGGTATCCGTAGAAACTAGGAATACTTTGCTCATCGCAACATTGACTGACTCAAAACAAAATGACACTGGTGCCGCAATGGCATCTGGAGAATGTCATATGTGAAGGGCTATGAGCTTGAATGTGCCCGCATACAGAAAGCGGGATGCTTGACTGGAGCATGTCGAACCACCCCGTTGCGACCGGCGACGCCGACAGCTGCAGCTGCAGCTGCAGCACCACACCCTTCCTCGGGAACCATATGGCGTAGGCGGGTTATCTCCCGTGCCTTGTCGCCCAGCCGCCTGCCCGCCCACTTGCAGCTTGGGGCTGGCCACTCACCCGAGAACGCAAAAGCTAGATTGGTCGGCTCTTCCGTGTGCTCTGTGGGACATGTTATCCTTTGCATGTCCGTGAAGCAGGATGAAAGCCGCCTCGGCGTCTCTTCGTCCTCTTCCTGATTCCTCCATTGAGGGGGGAGACGGATCCTACGGCCTTGGCCCATGCTGAGTGAGGTAAGCGCATCTCTCGTAGCCACGACGTCATGGAAGACATGGTGTATACGAGAAGAGGAGCATGGACAATAGCGCCAGGCATTTTGGGAGTAGAATATTGGGAATGTGGGCTCGGGAGGTTGACGCAGGAGGATAAGCCAAGAGAATACGCCACCGGGGTATCGGCTGGAGTGCTTGCGACTTTTCGGTCCTGGGTTCCGGGAGGGTGCTGGCTTGGGTGGGGGAGTGAGACGTGGTTGGTGGGATGTTGTCGCTGTTTTAGGCGGCCGGATGTTTTTTTGGTCAGCCATCCATGAAAGCAAAGGGTCGACTGGCTGGCATGCTTAGTGGGAAAGCTACACAATACTAACTTTTAAGGTCAACATCGGGAAAAGCGGCGGAATCAAAGAACGTGGCCGATGGCATACCGCGCGATGATGTTCGGGTGGGGGGAGAGCGAGGGCTCCTGGACGCGTGGTTCTTACGACGCAAAAGAAACAAACAGGTGGCCAGCAGAGGCCACACATGTCTCTTCTCCTCCATGGAGAAGGTCGCTTCTCAATCCATCGTAGAGGCGGAGCACCAAGGCTCAAGCCAGATCAACAAAGCATCGACGGTCGAGTCGAACAAGCTGGGAAGATGCCGGACCATCAGCGGCAAAGTATTGAGCAGCATGGGCGCGAACACCAACGGCCCCGCACCCGCAGAATGTGGGAGGGAGGGGTGGGCAGGTACTGCAGCGAGTAAGCACGCGGCTAGCTTGACGATTCCTCTCGAGATGGCCCGAATGAAAGGCGGGGGAACCAATGGGTTCCAGATCAAATGACCAGGGCTGTCAGATCCGCGAGCGAGTCTGATGAGCGCAACATGTGAGACGGAGGCGTTGCTGTGCACTGCAATAGAGGTCGAGCACGCTTGAAGTTCTTTCAGAGACCGGTGACGCCTGGTAGGAACGCCAAGGACGGCCTCGTCTGGGGGCCCGAAGGATTGACTTTTGCATCCAAGTCCGTGGCGGCCGTGGAGTTCCCTGGAATCGAACATTTCTGACAGATTGTCTCTTGAGCGAGAATTGGACGGCAAACTCAATCGACACGGGGCGCCAAGCAGCGACCCACGGCATTGGGTGACACGCGAAGGGCGCCGCCCGCCGCCAGCAACAATAGGTTGTACCCGTAACGCCGGAGTGATGAGACGGAGACGAGGGGCGAGAAGGTTGTAGTAGAATAAGAAACCACTGGCGCTCGCTCTGGCAAGTGCCTTCTGGTGCGTGTGACAGGTGGCAGGCTGTGTCCGCCGATTTGGTTGGGGATCGGTTAAAGTCGTCGCTCGTTGGCTGGCCTGGACATTGATCAGCCGTCGACAAAGGAACGGCACAGACGTACAAGTAGGATGAAGTACAGTAGCCCGCCTCGCCGAGTCGTGTCGGGGCGCTGAGTCGCTGGGCTCCAGTTGCTGTCGGTCGATTCGGGGCATGTCGCTACAGACGGTCCCGACTCCCTGTTCAGGCTGTGAGCAGGGGGTCTTGGGAGGCGCAATCGCCAACGCGCCAACCCCATGTCGCCCCCCCCACCTCGTCCTAGTGTTGCACTGGCGGATGGACTAGGCCAAGGCAAGCCAGGGCGTGCGGTGTCGGTGACGGCGTCGGAGTCTGGAGTCAGTGTCCTGTGTGGTGCTCAGGAGTCGGCTGGTGGGAGGCCAGGAGGAGGTGTTCGAGACGGAAAGGCAAATGTTGGAGGGGCCCAAAATGAAGAGACGGCAAGGGGGAAGATGAGGGATGGAATGAGAGAGATGCACTGCAGTTGGAGAGGCACGAGACGGGGGGGAAGGCTGACATTACCTACAGACGACATGTACATGGTACAGTACTACAGTAGCCAGGTGGTAGGTACGAACAGGGTAAGGCAAAGGCAAGCAGGCGCCATCGAGCAGCCCCGTCTGCTTGTCTCTCGGTTGCCCCTGCCTCTCCCGCTGTTCCTGAGGTGTTCCTGCTCCCTGTTGCTCCCTGCTGCTCCCCCAAGCCCCCCCCCCATTACCCCCCCTTAGCCCCTGCCCCCCCCTGCCCCCATGCCAGGCTGCACCTGCTCCTGTGGCACAACACCTGCAACGTGCCTCTCCTCCAGTTTTCCCCGCCACTGAAAGCACAGATCAGGCCGTAGCAGAGTAGCAACGGTGGAGGGCCTAGGCACTAGCCTCCATCGGACCAGTGTCAGGCCCTGGCTCTTGGGTCTCGCTCTGGCCCTTCTGGCTCTGGCTTTGGCTCTGGAAGTGGAAGTGGAAGCGGAAGTGGAAGCCTTGGTCTGCGACCCTTTTCCCTCACTGTATCCCACTCTCATCTTCGCTCCCTCAGCTACTTGCACCATTGCTACTGCTCCTCCTCCTCCTCCTCCACCTCGCGTCCGCCTTCATTGACGCACGCTTCCTCCCTCCAGCCCGCTCGACGCTGCTCTGTCGTCACCTGGGATCGACCACAACACTGAAGCCATATCCCATAGAGCAACGCCGCCCCGCTCGACGACGCGATTCGCCCACCTCTCGGCCCATTGAATCTCCCGTTGTCGCCTCGCCACCATCGCGCACTCTCTCACATTCTGTACTCGACGCTCGACGCCAGCCATTGTCGTCGCACACAGCAAGTCCAGCTGTTGGATAGAGACTAGACGAGCACGGGTCATTATTTCGCATACATCCGAGCATCAGCATCCAGCAAGCGTACCGCAGCCGTCCTCCCGTCATCTGACCAACCGTACATCAACCCAGACCGCGGCATAGATCTCGGCAACGCCACACCAATTTCCGACATTGACTATTTCGTGTTGTCCGAGAACATTTCAGATTGCATACGAAGCACCGTTTAATACAAAGAGGCCTCCAGTGCTTTTGTGCCCTCATTACAAATCGCCACCATGGCAGGATTCCTTAACAAGCTGAAGAGCGCGGGAACAGTACGTTGCGAGGATTCAAATTTGCGCGCCACAGCGCCAGATCAGCTTCTTCTGTGGTAGCCACCGGTATATTCAAATACTTTTGCTGACACGAAAACTTCACACAGGCGACCACGAGTCCCGCGGGAAAAGATGCCGCAACCAAGAAGAAAGAGGCTCTCGAGCCGCCCCCAGAAATCACACCTCTGGAGAAGATGCTTCAGAATGCTGGCCCTCTCCGAGATGACGGGACCGACCGCTTCTTTGGTCTCGAGAATGTGAGTTTTGCCACCCCATTCACCCTTGCCTCTTCGGCGAGACACCAATAGCTAATTGCTTCTTCTAGTTCGGCAACACATGGTAGGCCCTTTACCCCTTTCCATCGTATTCTTTTGGTCTCTGCTAATTGAACAAAGTTACTGCAACTCCATTGTGCAAGCACTATTTTACCAGGATGCTTTCAGGCAAAACGTCGTCAACTACCCGCCCTACTCCCCATCCGAAACACCCAATGGCGACGGCACGCGGCCCAAGGTACAAGTTAGCATTCGACCGCCGATGAAGAAGGAAGAACCGCTCAACCCAGCAGCGAAGCAGAAGGTGAGCGCGTCCGAGGCCATGCGTCGGCGACAGGCTGCCAACCTGCCGCCCGTTCCTGGCCAGCCTGGTCTGCGGCCTGAGGACCGGCCGGATGCCCCCGAATACAAGAAGAAGCAAGCCATGATCAAGGGCCCCGTCGTCGAGCTGAACCAAGAAAACGCCGACCCATATGGCATGTCCGAATGTACATTCACCGGCCTGAAAGACATTTTTGGCGCCTTGATGCAGAGCGAAGACCGCGTCGGCGTTCTGAGCCCCCAGAGATTCCTCGAGATCTTCAAGCGCGACAACGAGATGTTCCGAAACTCAATGCACCAAGACGCACACGAATTTTACGGCCTAGTCCTGAACGATGTGATCGCGAATGTGGAGCAGAACGCTAGGAGGATCCAGGAGAGAGAAGATGCGAACGCTAGCGCCGGTCTGGCGCAATCCGTGGAGAACGCGCTCGGCGCGGGAGTCTCGAGCCTAGTGCCCCAGGTGAACGGCGGTGCCAGGTCTCCGGGCACCGGATGGGTGCACGACATTTTTGAGGGCGTACTTACCTCTGAGACGAAGTGCCTGACTTGCGAGACAGCCTCGCAAAGAGATGAACCTTCCTCGACTTGTCGATCGATCTGGAGGAGCACTCTTCCGTCACTCGTGTCTTCGCAAGTTCTCGGCAGAGGAGATGCTTTGCGAAAGGAACAAATTTCACTGCGATCACTGCGGAGGTCTTCAGGAGGCGGAGAAGCGCATGAAGATCAAGCGACTGCCGAAGGTCCTCGCACTGCACCTGAAGAGGTTCAAGTACACAGAGGACTACAGTCGGCTGCAGAAACTCTTCCACCGCGTGGTGTACCCTTACCACCTGCGCATGTTCAACACGACGGACGACGCCGAGGATCCCGATAGGCTGTACGAGCTCTACGCGGTTGTTGTTCACATTGGAGGTAACGCCTACCACGGACACTACGTCTCGGTGATCAAGACGCAAGATCGAGGCTGGCTTCTATTCGACGATGAAATGGTGGAGCCGGTCGACAAACACTTTGTGCGCAACTTTTTCGGCGACAAGCCTGGCACGGCATGCGCCTACGTCTTGTTCTACCAGGAAACCACGTTTGAGAAGGTACAGGCCGAAATGGAGGCCGAGGGCCTGGAGGAGGTGAAGATTGCCAACGAAACGGCGAACCTCGCGTCGGAGAATGGCCAGGGCAACGGCAACGTCATCCCCCTGACAAAGCAGAGCACGCAGCCGCTGAGCCCCAGCCTCGAACGGGACACAAGCAACAGTCTCGCGCACGCTCAGACGGCACCGGGCATGGTCGAGGCGCCACCACGAGAATCGTTGACGGACAATCCCCTGCCCAAGACGCCCAACCCGTTGACGATGGTTCCATCTTTTCCCTGCGGTGCCCCGTGTGGAGACTCGAGGATCGACCAAGGAGGACAAGAAGCGCGAGAAGAGGGAACAAGAAGCGGCGGAAAAAGTGCGCAAGCAGGCCGAAAAAGACAAGCGCAAGGCGGACGAGAAGCACTCGAAGGAGATGCAGCAGCGCAGGCGAGAGCAGAGCATCAGGGAAAACGAAGAGATGCGCAGGGCGGTGGAGGAGAGCCGCAAGATGGCAGAAGAAGAAGAGAGGAAGAACAACAAGGACGCCGGGGCGAGCCCCGGGGGGATCCTGAGTCGCGCCAACCGCGGCAGCAAGTCGATGACGAAGAAGAGCTTCAGCTTCCTCAACAAGGACAGATCCGACACGGGGGAGCACGGCGCGAACGGCAACGGGTCGTCGAGCCCGGCGGAGAGCAAGCTCAAGGACCGATTCAGCTTCAACCTCGGCCGCAGGAAGAGCAGCAACCTGCTGTCGTGAGGGGGGGGGTGTGTGTCAAGTGTTTTATGCTGGTGTATTCAGTGGTCCAATTTTGATTCTCGGTCATGTCCATATGGGAGGGGTTGTATAGTTTTCCGGTGTCTGAAGCGGTTGTCATTGGGAAGGGCTGCCCGACTACGGCGTGCGTTGAGCGGCCGTGGCAGCACGCCTGGGGGTTTATTGCTGGAGATTGGCGGATCGCCAAACCTGGTACCTACCTAATTCATGGACGGGGGCAAAATTAAAAAGAAGGCACATGCACGCATGGTGTCGGAGAGCTTTTGTTACCGGATTTCATGTGTCTCGGTTGCGTACATCTGTATGTTGTACATGGTGTCCACGGCCGAACCAGATTCAACATGACTGGCTTGGGTTCGCTGGAAAGCACAGCAACCATTTATCCTTTGTATTTGCTGCTTGTGTGAAGCTCGCTATATTTGCTCATAGGCCTTCATACCTCGAGCGCGCGCCTGCTGCTCGTTTTGTTCCCCCAAGCCGTGAACGCCATGTCTCCATTGTCAGGGCATGCATGTGTGTCTGGCCACGAATGCGTAGCCACCTCCTTAAGCTGTCACCTTTTGCCCTCCCGCCGTCACTCCCCGATTTTGGTTCGTCAAGTTCCTCCCCCGGGTAGAAAAACGTCTTATCCGAGGACGAGCTCGTACAGAATGACAATCGTGTTGATGCCTATCAGGGGTACTGTGAAGGTCGCAGTCGCACGTCAGCATCTTCGTGTTTTGCTTTGAAAAAGGGGGAACCGGCCGTACTTCTCATGAGGGTCCTGACGCTGGCGATGAGGTTGATGATCTTGGCCTTGACGCTGGCGTCGGCGCCCTGGCCGAAGGCTGGGTCGTAGGAGGCGGGGGAGAGGTTGACTGTGAAGGGTCTGGTGTGAGCCTTTTGGGAGAGCATGGGAGACACGAGATGGGGAAGGGCGTACTGCGGGCGAGGAAGCGGTCTTCGGAGAGGATTGCTACGGCGTTGATGAGGAGGCTGTGAGGGGCGGGGTGTGTTTAGCTGGCGTTGCTTGGTTTGCGAGCGCGGGGGCCCGGGGGGGAGGGATTCGATTTACATGGCGACTGCGGGGGGGTTAGCTTGGTTGCGGTCGGAGGTGGAAGGGGGAGGGCCGTACTGTAGAGGAAGTTGCCGATGAGATACATGGCGGCGGTTGGTGCTGCATGCGGTGGGGGATGGGTGGTGAGGTTGATCGGTCGAGTGAAGGGCGATGCGACGATGCGACGATGCGACGGGAGCCTGGCGACGGCGGCCTTGGTGTTTAGTCGTGTCCTTGTTCTGTGTTGCGTCGAGTGCTGTGCTGGGGGAGCTGTGACGAGACCGATAAGGAAGGCGGTGAGCGGATGGATCATCTTCAGGCCGATGCTGATGGGCCCCTTAGGTAGGTACGTACCTTACCGAGTGCCTCACTGAGATACCTTGAGGCAGCCTTGGGGCAGCCTTGAGGCAGCCTTGAGGCAGGTACAAACACCAGACTGTATGTACGACAGCCTCGTCAGAGTCACTCACTTTATAACCATTGAGGCTGTGAGCAATTGTCTTTTCTCGTTCTCCCATTCCAGAGATGTCATAGCTGTCACGCTTACTTCCATCACCCCTGCTTCAAGATGAAGCCCCTTGGTATGTCGCCTCACCACCAAAGAACGCCATCACTAACATCGCCAGATGTCGTTCTAGCCTCTCTCATCCCGGCCACCATCCTCTTTCACCTTGTCGCTGCTCCTTATACCAAGGTCGAGGAGTCCTTCACCATCCAGGCAACCCACGACATCCTCGTCTACGGCACGCCGACCCGCAACATCAACGCTCGCTTCCATGCCGTCTACGACCACTTCACGTTCCCGGGCGCCGTACCACGGTCCTTTGTCGGGCCGGTCATGCTAGCAGGCATCAGTCAGCCCATCGTCGCCATCTTTGGCTTCCAGCATGCTCAGATGATTGTTCGTGGCGTGTTGGGCATGTACAACGCCGCAGCCCTGCTCTACTATGCGCATTGCGTCAAGAGGGGACTCGGCACAAGCGCGGCGCGTTGGTGGACCGTCATGACCGTCAGCCAGTTTCACATCATGTTCTATGCCTCGAGGACGCTGCCCAACATGTTCGCCTTTGGTCTCAGTACGTCTGATGCCTCCTTGGCCCGACTTGACATGTGCATCTGTGACTGACCACAACACAGCCACCATCTCATCGGCCCTGCTCCTGCCACACCCAGACCAGGCTCGAAAGGCGTCGCGCATCCGCATTTCCATCTCTCTCCTCGTCTTTGCCGCCGTCATCTTCCGCTCCGAAGTCGCCCTCCTCCTGTTCACCACGGCAGCGACCCTGCTCGCGACGCGCCAGACGACCCCTCGCGCCCTTCTCCCCGGCTTCATCGTGTCGTCGCTCGCGGCCCTCGTCCTCTCGGCGCCCCTCGACTCGTACTTCTGGCAGACGCCCCTGTGGCCCGAACTCTGGGCCTTTGCCTTCAACGTCCTCCGCGGCGGCGCCTCCGACTGGGGCACCTCTCCCTGGCACTACTACTTCACCTCGGCCCTGCCGCGGCTCCTCCTCAACCCGTCGGCCCCCTTCCTCATCGCCTCGGCCGCCCTCCACCCGGCCACGGCCCGCACAGCCCGCCTCCTCATCGCGCCGAGCCTCGCCTTTGTCGCCATCTACTCCCTGCAGCCCCACAAGGAGGCCCGCTTCGTCTTCTACGCCGTCCCGCCCCTCACCGCCGCCGCCGCCCAGGCCGCCGCCCTGACGACGGCCCGCGCCGCCAAGTCGCCGCTCGCCCGCCTCGCCACGGCCGCCACGACCGTCGCCGTCCTGGCGTCCGCCGCCGCCGCCGCCGCCCTCCTCGCCCTCTCCTCCCTCAACTACCCCGGCGGCGAGGCCCTGTCTCACGTCGCCCGCGTCGCCGCCCTGGCCCCCGCACCCGCCGATGCCGCCGCCCCGGCCCCCGCCATCCACGTCGACGTCCTCTCGTGCGTGACGGGCGTGACCCTCTTCGGCCAGAACCCCGCCGGCCGCCCCGTCCTCCTGGCGCCCGACGCCGCCGCGCTGCGCTTCGACAAGACGGAGGACCGCGGCGCGGCTGGCGAGGCCCGGCTTCTGGCTCGCCTTCGACTACCTCCTCGTCGAGGACCCTGCCGTCGTGGCCGGCGGCCGGTGGGAGACGGTCGGCGTCGTCGAGGGGTTCGCCGGCGTCGAGGTGCGCAGGCCTGGGACCAACCATGTCGAGGCGGCTGCTGCGCCCCGTCCCGACCCTGGGCCCGGGCCCGTCGTCGGCAGGGGCCGCGTCGTGGCTGCTGTGCGGGAGGCCGTCAGGGGCGTGACGGGCGGGTGGTGGGTTGGCCCGCGGATGGAGCCGAGGGTGTATATCCTCAAGAGGGACAAGGTTGGCGCTGTGGTTGTCGGGACGTAGTTGGCGCAGCCGTGTGCGGTGGCCCGTTTGGAGATACTGCGCCGACATGGATAGGTCGTCATGTTTCCGTGACAAGAAGATGGGTCACCAAGGCGAATAGGAAGCAACTTCCGTCAGGTGTATCATCATGCATTGTCGCCGTCGTGCCATACGACCGATCTGCGCCCGTGGTCCTCAAGGCCTCTCATAACGGCCCTGCGTGACAGCGGCTACGTGTGTATACATCCCAGCAGCACGCGAAAGACACAAGTGATAAAAAGCACAACGTTAGAGCATCCGCTACCGCCTCCGTGTCCATCATCCGCATATACCATCTCCGCGACGTTTATAGTGCGCGGGAAGAAAGAGAAACAAAAAACCCCAAAGCGATCCCATCCCTCATGATCCAAAACAGGTCCGTTTGATCCCTCTGCAGCGGTCCTGTCCAGTCATCGACTCGAAACCCACCGACCATCCAAACCGTCGGCCAGAAGAAGAAGACCAGAAAATAGTTTATATATATATAAGGTAATTGGTAACGCAGTGGTCGGCGCCGGGTATCGCCCCTCCTTTCCCGCCCCGTCATGTCCCGTACCTCCGTGGCGCCGTGCTGAAGCGAATGCTGAATGTCGAATGCCGCAAAAGTCGTCAAGTATCCGGTACGTGTGTGCCAGTGTGGGTTTGTTGTGTGTTGTGTGGCCGCCGTGCTTTCCTCGGCCTCCTACACGATGTCGTGCTCCTGATGCCCGCCGTGCGCCTTATGCACGCCGTGCTTGTTGTGTATTGTGTGGCGGCCGCGCCCCGTTTACTCCTGCTCCGTGTCGCTGCCCTCGTCCGAGAGGCTCTGGAGCTCGCCGAACCGCGCCTTGTAGCGCTGCAGCTCGGCCATCTGCTCGGCGACCTGGGCGAGCACGTCGGTGATGGGCGCGCGCAGCTCGTTGAGCTGCCCGATGGGCGCCCTGCCGTTGGCCATGTGCCGGAGCGCCAGCGTCGTGGTGCACGTCTGTCGTCGGTCAGTACCACGATTCACACCGTACAAGCGACACACGTCGACACGACGTGCCAGGGACTCACCTCGACCCTGCTCACTTGGTGCTCCATAAAGTTGAGCAGGAACCGCTCCGTCACCTCGCCGCCGCGCTGCTTCATGCGCTCGAGCAGCTCCGTCTCGGGCGCCTGCAGCGCGCGGCCGCTCTCGTTCTCCAGGGTGCTGCACAGCATCTCGAGCCGCAGGCTGACGCGCCAGAGACCCCAGATGAGGTCCGGGTCAAAGGCGAGCTCGCTGCCGGGCTGCATGGTCGCCGGCTTCTCGACCTCGACGCCGCGGTCGTGCTGCTGGTGCTGCTCGGCGCGGCCGATGAGCGCGTGCGGGTACAGCGAGTAGACGACCTCGGGGTTCTCGAGGCCCTTGAGCTTGCGCTCGCCCATCTCCTTGACTTCGAAGCCCTGCGAGCTCAGGGACCGCAGGTCGCGCCGGATCGCCGCCGCCAGGCTCTGGTCGTCGTCAAAGGCGTCGTCCGACCCCGTCGACCCGTTACGGTCCGTGTCCTGCGACGTCTCCAGGCACCGCTGCACCTCCGAGATGAAGTCGGACGACACGGTGATCTGGCCGCCGTCGGCCACGGCCGAGATGCGCGACGCCTTGTTGACCATGGGGCCGAAGTAGTCCATGCGCCTAGTCACCGGATCCATCTCGTTGACCGCCTCGCCAAAGTGTATGCCCATGCGCACAGACAGGCCCTTGAAGATGAGCGCGTTGTCCTTGTCGAAGAGCGGCTGGCAGGACACCGAGTTGAGCACCTCGGGCGGCCAGTTGACCTCGAGCAGGGAGATCTGCACGGCGAAACACCACAGCAGGGCCGACGTCGCCGTCGGGAAGGACACCATGAACGCGTCGCCTTCCGTCTTGACCTCGTAGCCGCCGATGCGCCGCAGCTGGCGACGCATGACCTCGTTGTGCAGCTTGATCGCCGAGCGCATGGCCGAGGGGTACATCTCCCAGAGCGTCGTCGAGTTCTTGATGTCGGTGAAGACGATGGAGATCTGGCCCGTGGGCGCGGGAATCTCGGCCTCGAGCCGCTGGAGCGTCGAGTCGAGCACATCGCCGGCCTTGGTCTTCTTGCCGCGGCGCGGCAGGCTCTGCAGGTCTTCGGGCACGCCGGACGGGTACAGAGACATGCTCTGGCCGCGGTGCAGCCGCGAGCGCTCCATCCGCCTCTTGAGGTCCGAGACGCTGAGCAGCATGATCATAATCTTGCTGGCCGAGCCGTAGGCGATGGCCAAGTCGCGGAGCTTCTGCGACGCGCGCATGAGGTCGCCGCGCTCGGACCGGACGACGTCGACGATGAGACCCGGCGACATGTACTCCCAGAGCTCGCGCGTCGCGAGGAGGATGATGTCGTCCGACTCGCGGATCGTCACGTTGCTGACGTAGGGGGCGGCCTGCACCGAGGGCATGAGGCCGACGTAGCCAAAGGCGCGCGAGACCTCGAGCAGGTCGTTGAGCTTGCCGTTGCGCGACACCCAGCCGCCCGCCTCTCGAATGCGCTGGCGTTCCGTCGGCTCGGCGGGGTCGTGCTTGCGCGTCAGGATCTTGTGCGAGCCGTCCGTCTGGATGAGCATGGCCTGCGCATCGCCGACGTTGGCGACGAACAGTTCGGTGCCCTGCAGGTACACGACCGTCGCGACGCCGCCCGAGTTGAGATCCTCCTTGCTCAGCACCACGGGCTGCGCGGCCACCTTAGGCCCCGGTCCGGTGGTGACGGCCCTGTCCTCGTTGTGCTGGGTCGCGACGGTGACGAGGTCCTTGTTGAGCGAGAGGAACGCCCTGCGGAGCGCGTCGGCGGGCGTCTCCTGCTGGCGCGGCTTGAGCTGCTTGAGCTCGTGCGCAAAGATGTGGCCAAAGTTCTCGTGAAGGTACTTGGCAATCTTGGACCCGCCCGTGGTCAGCGCCTGCCCGTCAAACAGACCGAGCAGCGTCTCCGTGTCGGACGAGTTGAAGCGCGGCACGACGAGGTCGACGGTCGACAGGTGCTCGTTCTTGCCGAGCGTGTCGGCCATGCCGTACGGCAAGTGGCCGGCGAGCGAGCCGGACGTGCGCACGCGGCGGTCGTCGCTCTGGTCGGGGATCGTGGGCTGCGTCAGCGTGACGTCCATCAGACCGAGCACGCGCAGGTTCTGCAGCCTATTAAAATCTGCAAGCTGCTCGCGGCTGGCGGCGCCGGGCCCGACGACCGTCTGCTTGATCTCGAGGCGCTTGTTGCCCGACAGGTTGAGGTACCGCAGCTTGGGGTTCAGGTTCCAGTTCCAGTCGTAGGGCACGTTGGCAATGTTGTACTTGAGCGAGTTGTTACCGCAGTCGAGCACCGTCAGTTTCTTAGCCCGCGATATGTCGGCCGGCAGGTTGGTGAACTTGTTGCCGTTGATGTGCAGCACCTGCAGGAGGCTGCTATCCTCCAGGTCGTCCGCCGGCGGCGTCGTCAGCTCGTTGCCGGACAGGTACAGCTCGACGAGCTGGGGCCACGCCTTGATGGACCTCTGCGGCATGTCGCCAATGTCGTTGTACTACAGGTTGAGCACGCGCA